TGTCCAACAAGAGTGTCCTACAAGAGTGTGCCACAAGAGTGTCCTACCAAAGTGTTCCGCAAGAGTGCCCCCCCAAGAGTGAGTGTCACACAAGAGTGTCCCACAAGAGCGTCCCGCGAGAGCGTCCCACGAGAGTGGGGCACAAGAGTGCCCCAGAAAAGTGTCCTACAAGAGACTGGTACTCTTTTCATACGCTTTATGGAATTCTCTCTTGTCCGACACTCTTGTGGAACACTATACTCTTGTAGAATATTTCTTGACCAGTAGGGCTCGAACGTGACCGCTAGCGGGAGATAGTTTAGGCCCCAGAACCTTGTAGGTTCGACCTTTTTTAGGTAGCCCCGAGCGTGCCATTGCGGCGGCTGCCGAGAGAAGTCCGCTTTGGCATCGCAAGCTGCGAGCCAAGCGACAGAAAGCCAGATCTGTACTTCGGCGGAATAAAGTCAGGACTGTTTCTCGACCTGGGTTGCTGCTGCGTTTGCGGAAAGCAAGGGTCCTTTTACAGCGGCATCATTCTGCGCCACGGTATAGAATTTCTGCTCTGGATTGCCTGTCAGTGGAAAGAAAGAGCAGTGTTGGCATAGACATGTCATGGAAACGTCAAGATTTCCAGTCGAAAGGACAGAAGGCATGGGGACAGAACTATGCCTGGGATTGGAATCCCCAAAGCAAGAAGAAGAACAAAGAGAAGAAAGAGTCCGAAGAAAGTCCCGCCTTCTTTGTGGGGTACGATGGCAAGAAGGTTCCTATCGCTTCGGATTCTGCATCCTCGCAACCCTCATCCTTGTCAGCAGCGGATCAAGCATTGAAGCTGGAGAATGCCAAGCTCAAAGATGCTATGAAGAAGCTCATCTGCAAGGGCAATGTCGAGGAGATCGAGGAGGATGTGGCGACCTTTCTCCAGAAGGATCCTCGCGACGAAATCAAGGCGCGCCAAAAGGCCTTGAACGAAGAGAGGAAAGCTTTGAACAAGGCGATGAAGATCAAAGAAGAGATGGACAAGAAGGGGAAGAAGTTTGCTGCATGGAAAGACAATTTCCAACAGGGCTTGATCTCGGAAGAGAAAAGGCACGAAGCTACAATGGCCGAGCTCATGGTGGCCTTGAAGGAGGCGGAGACGAACCCCGAAGAGCCTGGGTCTATGGAGGAGGATGGGCATGGGCCTCTAGATCCTCGACTCGAACAGTTGACCGATCAGGTGACTATGATGCAGCAGCAAATGGCACAGATGATGTCCTACACGGCCGTGATCGAGGAGCGGAACCAGACTCTGACGGAGCAGGTTTCGGCTTTGGTGGGAGCGATCCAAGGCCAGGCCATGATGGGCAATGGGGAGAGGAGTTCCCCGCAGCAGGTTCTGCGTACTCGCGTGAAAAGAGAAGCAGACTCCATGCCAGAAGAGCCAGACACGAAGAGGGCTGGCAGGTCCAGGTCGCCCCCTGGATTGCCGGTGGAGCTGAGCCCAGAGATAGGGGTGGAGGAGGCTCCGATGGACTCGAAAGAGCTCAAAGAGATCCTCTTGAAGATGTCAGAGGGAGCTCAAATGTGGCTGCTGAATCAAAAGAATGCCAACCCGGAGAAGTATGGCACGAGAGCTATGATGATGCAGCTGATCCAGGAGGCGAAGGCGATGGAGGCATCGAATGGGGGCGAAGTCCACCTTGGGTTGGAGAACATGCCACTTCCAGATGCAAAGAGCAAAGCGCTGGCCCCTTTTGGCAAGATGACCAGAGAGAAGATTGTGACGCCGGTGATGCCCTACCGGCCCACCCTGGGGCTTGTCCTGAACGACCCCTACCTGATGATGACGCCGCCGCAGGAGGTAAAGCGGCATGCCAGTCCTTTGCCACTTGGCTTGAAGGATGGAATGGATTAGCTTGGGAAAGCTATGACGAATCTTGGCTTGAGATTTTCTTTGGGTGCGCTAGTTTTGAAAGCTGCAGCTTAGATTTCTTTGGCCAACCCATTTATGAGTGTTCTGCTCCGCCTTTGATCGTGAGCTACTTCCAGTTTTTGAGAGCTGGTTTGATGGATTTGGTATGGGGCCATACTGTTCCTTGGCTTGGCGTTGGGGAGCAGTCCTTTTTCCCTATGGTCTATCGCTTTATCTGTTGGCAGCTGGCTTTCATTGCGATCATTTGTACTATGCTGGCCAGTGGTGGGAGCCTGTCTGGCATATGTGACGATATTGGGG